AAAACTATTAATTTTTATGTTAGTAATTAGAAACTATTAAATTATATATACATGTGTATCTATATAATCTTATTACATATATATGTATATATTTTATTTTTTATACATTTCTAAACAATTTTGAAATATTTCACATATGGCAACGTGCCTTGTTTAACTTGTATGAGATACGTTACTGACGCCGTATTTTCGCACATGCGCGTACAACACGCGTCCCATATCGAAACACTTGATTGGCGGATGGAACGCGAGTCCATGCAGTTAGGCCTGTTCTACAATACAGTCGTAAGCAGTAAGTCGTAAGAAATTGACCAATCACAATCGATTATTCTTCTGTAATTTACCTGTGATTGGTCAATTTCTTACGACTTAAACTTACGACTGTATTGTAGAACAAGCCTAAAGGGTCGTCTACAATGGAGAGTTTTAGACTGTAACAGTAAGAAACTGACAAATCACAATCGATTATTCTTCTGTACTTTGCCTGTAATTGGTCAATTTCTTACTATTACGGCCTACAACTCTCCATTGTAGACGGCTCTTAAGGTCTGTTCACAAATAAATCACAGAAGAATAATCGATTGTGATTGGTCAATTTCTTACGACTTAAGCTTACGACTGTATTGTAGAACAGGCCTAAGGCCTGTTCAAAGATAAATCACAGAAGAATAATCGATTGTGATTGGTCAATTTCTTACGACTTACGGCTTACGACTGTATTGTAGAACAGGCCTTAGAAACTGTAGTGCGCATCCCTTCCACCGTTTTAGCGTGCTGCAAAAGAGCCAAAAAACTGAGAACACTGGTGAGCGTTCCGGTATAGTTCAGTGGTGTTGACGCAGGTTTTGATTTTATTTAATTTACAAATTATTGTTATTCAATAAATGATCAATATACGTCATTCCAAGTACGCAAGTATAGCTACGCGCATTGACATGTGATGAATATGTTAAACTGTATACATGAGAAGTGCCGAAAAATGTGGAGGATCATGGCGTCCGTAACGGTCATACGTGCATAGAAGATTTATTTTTTGAACAATTTCAGTGCCTTACGCCAATCTACTTTTTACAAAACAGTTTTTTTAACAAATAGACACGGGACATATAATTGGCGTATGAGTTTCTTCTCTACGCCCACTGAGCCATAACAACATAGAATAGTTTATCAATATTGCACAGAAAAGTAGCATTTGGCTGCATAATTGTAAGTTGAATAATATTTGATTTTTAATTGCTTTTAATAATTTATTTACATTGCGGTTGTAATGTAACCAAAAATCAGCCACAAATCACATGTATTCTTGTTCGTAAACAAACAAACTATAAATAATAAAACATTTCTCAAAAAATGTTTTTTAAGGTTCTAAACTATATTAGAAATAAATATTTTTATCTTGTCGAATAATTTTTTGTACCGTTTATTTATGTACAGAAATTTTTTTTGATAAAGAAAAAGTATATAAACCACTGATAATTTATTTGTTTCAGATCAAAATGTCGACCACATCACAGAAACACAAAAATTTTGTGGCGGAACCAATGGGAGACAAACCTGTTAATGAATTGGCTGGTGTTGGAGAAGTATTGGGGAAGAGATTAGAAGCCGCAGGTTTTGACAAGGTCATTAGAACTTTTTTAAACTATGTATATTAACAAAAGAGATTAAAACTCATAGTCTAATGAGAATATTTGCTTTAATATTTAAAACACAGATATTATTTTCAAAAGTACAAAGTTATACACATTTGTGTTATATATAACACACATATATATACAGGGTGTCCCAGAGTTGCCGTACAATCGCTCGTAGGCAGGTAGAAGGAGTAAAACTGAGTCGAAAAGTCCTGAACCATTTTTTTCTATTATTTATAATAAAGGAGTAATTATTGAGTAAATCAGGCCAATCAGCGCAGACCTTTAGCCAGACGCACGTCAGTGAGCCACGTGCCTGGTGTGTGTGAGTGCTCGCTGACGTGTGCCTGGCTAAAGGTCTGTGTTGATTGGCTTGATTTACTCAATAATTACTCCTTTATTATAAATAATACAAAAAAATGGTTCAGGACTTTTCGACTCAGTTTTACTCCTACCTGCCTACGAGAGATTGTACGGCAATTCTGGGACACCCTGTATATATATGTTTACTTAAACATATATATATATATGTTTAAGTAAAAATTATGTATTAAGAGATTAATATTAAAATGTTTAAAATTTTTTTCTATTGAAATATAAGTAAATTGAAGAATTAACTGTTTATAGGCATATGTAGTATTAGGACAGTATTTAGTGCTAAAGAAGAATAAGGAGTTGTTTCAAGATTGGATGAAAGATGCCTGCTCAGCAAATGCTAAACAGTCTTCAGATTGTTACCAATGCCTTACAGACTGGTGCGAAGAATTTTTGTAAACTAATCAAATCCGTCATTTGAGGGCTAAGTTGCGTTGTGAAATATCATACGATATAAAAAAACGTCACTCCCTACGTTTAATCCCGTAACTCCAAAACGCAAATTTTTAGGAGAGAGTTTAAAGGTTTAAAACTTCATATGTTTCTCTAGTTAAGGAATTGTTTTGGTTTAAAATTTTTACTTTACGTATAAATAATTTTTTTTAATTAGTGACCATAAAGAACATGACTTTCCAAGTGTTAGTGTGCAATAAACTGAAAATCTCGTAGGTGACATTTATGTAATTTATATGTAGGGAGTGACGAAAAGTCCTTTAAAAAGTCTTCAAAACTAAACAAACATAAATACACACAAACACATGTACATACATATGCAACCCTAATCCTGTAAACCTTAGATTTTACAGAACACACCTAAAAAGATGTTTACAGGATTAGGGTTAATATTTTTTGTAAACTATTTCATATTAAAAAAAATAGTAATTATTAAAATCAATAAAGATATTTATTCATATTTTTGCAATATTTTGTTTATCAACATAGTTTTACAAAACATTTGGTGTTTGTAAAATGTCTATTTTTTTAAAATATTTTCTAGACTAAGTAAGACAAATATTAAATATATTTAAATATATCGTATATTTTTTTCTATTTGTTAAATAAAAGTAATATCACCAAATATTTTTTAAAAGTGCATCAAATAAAAAAATTTTATCAAAAAAGTATATCAAATTATAGTGTCTTTACTGGAAGAACGATTGTGAGAACTTTCTGTGTACTTTGTTACTGCCTCATGTAATTAAATCAGCATTTGTCATATGTGCATTTAATGTTGAAGTAGCTCAAGTAGAAGATTGAGCGAGTGATGGTAAAATAGAAGCTATGTGACTACAGTTTTAGACAGATGCTCTGAATGATATTTACAACGGTTATTTGCCAAAAAGTCTTGTACCACTAAAGTTATACAAAGTAGATAATTAGCCAATCAACTTACGTGATTGGTCAATTCTGCGAGATCAGCTGCCTGCGACCTGCGTTTGCGTCTTATGTAGGATAGACCTTAAGCCAATTCCGTGAGACTTTCAACTTGCGATCTGCGTCCGCATTTAAATGTAAATCGACCTTAAACTAGCCAACTTCGCGCATGCGCGTTATTGCTGGCTTCACATATATCAAAGGTGCCGACATGGGGTATGTTCCAAAATCTTACCTTGGGAACCGAAAACTATAGTACACGTGACGTAAAATATAGCGTTTTAGTAACCAAAGTAAAATTTTGGAACGTACCCATGGAGTTGCGCTACTGTATATAAGGGGTGCGTTCAGACAACTCAACAGTTGCACAACGGTTGAGAGATAATCACTTCAGATTGGATCATACTTTTGGAACCGCATGCAGATTTTGAAGAATAGTCTTGTCATAAGTGATGATCTCTCAACCGTTGAGTTGTTTGAACGCACCCAAGGTCTGTTCTTTTTCCATACTTTGGCTGCACTAATTCACAGTCTATCTTTTTTTTATCTATGTCTAGGAAAAAGATAGACTGTGAACTAATATATGCACGAAACCAAACCATAGGGTCTAAAAAAGATAGACTGTGAACTAGTGCAGCCAAAGTATGGAAAAAGAACAAACCTTGGGTGCGTTCAGACAACTCAACAGTTGCACAACGGTTGAAAGATAATCACTTCTGATTGGATCATACTTTTGGACCCGCCCCCAGATTTTGAAGAATAGTCCTATCATAAGTGATGATCTCTTAACCGTTGAGTTGTTTGAACGCACCCAAGGTCTGTTCTTTTTCCATACTTTGGCTGCACTAGTTCACAGTCTATCTTTTTTTTATCTATGTCTAGGAAAAAGATAGACTGTGAACTAATATATAGGTCTGTTCTTTTTACCTGAACTGGCTACACTAGTTCAGAGGTTATCTTTCTTCTTCCAATGTAGAGTGAAAAAGATAAACTCTGAACTAGTGCAGCCAGTTCAGGTAAAAAGAACAGACCTTATGCACCAAACCAAATCATAAAGTGCGTTCAGACAACTCAACGGTTGCGAGATCATCACTTATGATAGGACTATTCTTCAAAATCCGCAATCAATTCCAAAAGTATGATCCAATCAGAAGTGATTATCTCTCAACCGTTGTGCAACTGAGTCGAGTTGTCTGAACGCACCCATAGACTGTGAACTAGTCCAGCCAAATTATGAAAAAAGAACAGACCTATACCGTGGCGAATGTTCTCGGCGGTGTTCATGTGTGTGCGATAGAGAGATCTACTCGTGAGATGGATCTGCTTTGATTTTGATCAGCGTTCAATCATGGTGATGGCGTTTATGTTCGCTCAAAAGTGAAGATTTTTTAAAATAATATTTGTGTGAAAGAAGCAAACACATTGGCGAGAAATATATCGGCTTCTCGAACTCGGCACGACTCAGTTTTGTGATCGAACGTGCTAATTTTGATTATCCTCGGTGGAAATGAAAACGTATTTGAGTACTGTGAATAACAGGTCTGTTTTTTAATGCTTTAATAACAATTTTATAAATTTTATATTATCTGTGTAACTGTTCACAAATCACAAGTAGATATATATATATATATCTAATTAAGCGTTGAAGTAGGTTGCGGGCAAGATATCGTTGTTGTTGTTCGGAAAAGTTGAAAAAAGAGCGGAAAAGTACAAACAAAAAACGGACATAAACGTACACCGCACGCCGCACGGGGGTTAGAATTAGGGGTTAGGGTGAGGATTTTCCTGGGAAAATATGTCCGGTGATAAATCCGACGTGGATATCGATAACCAGAGCGAAGACGGAGAAATCAAAAAGAGTCCTAAGGATATGGATTACAGGTATACATGCGTTGTGTGTGTGTGTGTGTGTGTGTGTGTGTGCGTGTGCGTGAGATTTTGGAAAATGTTGTGCGTGTGATGATTTGCGAGGTTAAAAATCTGCTCGTTTCGAAAAAAGCGGCCGTGGAAACAAATTTACATTTGCCAACGTACAGTTGTTATCATTTACATTTTTTATCAGTCCAATAATTAATAAATTTTTCTGATTTTTATTATTGTATAAAAAAGAAAGAGAGAATCTTATGGGATTTTTTTTATTTAAAACTACTTTTCGAGGCGCATGCGCGTCTCTTGAACAAATTTTCTTATTTTGTTTATGCATTTAATACTTTATTGCAACACAGTTTTTTTAACACAGTTATTTTTTCGAAGTACATTTACTTTCACAGTTGCATTTAGTCGGTTAGAGTAAATACGCCGTGTAACAATCCGCGTTGTTGAATTATCAAACCTTGGTACACCTCTGAAAGTGTCTAAATACAACACGTCTAACAAATCCCAGATAAAACCAGATCTGTCTGAAACAGATTTTGCCAAGTGCTTGTTGCAAATTTTTATCAGCAAAAAGACATCAAATATGATGGCAGAGTTTGTTTTTGTCTTGGCAATGTTGCAAAATTGCTAGCAATAATTATATTCAAGCTTGTTGACAAAACATAACAGCAACTTGCTTGGCAAAAACCAAGCAAAGCTTGATGTCGTGTTGCGCAGATCTTGCTTCATATTTGGCGTCAATTTGGTCTCAGACCAAAAAATATGTTTCAATATGTATCAAGCTTTGCGCTCGGTTGTTTGCTAGCAATTTGCTGTTACTTTGTTGTCGACAAGCTTTGGCAACAAAATCGAAGCCTAACGCGGACACCAGTTGATACCAATTTGCTGAGTAAGTTTTGCTTAAAATTGCTGACAATTTGCCGGCTGATTGCGAACAAATTGTTTACTGGGATATGGTGCTCTCCGGTTACATACACAGGCAACACTGTGTAACACAGTGTCCACTAGTGCGAGTGAGATACACGCTGATACATTCTTTCTCGCACTAATTGACACACTGTGCAACGTGTCTTTTGTGTACATATAGCTGAAAAGCACTCAAAAACTATATCTGAGTCTAAACTCTACACTTAAGGACGTTCTCCGACTACAGTGGATAGCAACCTAAATACAGTAAGTTTGTACTGCTGTAACAAAGTTAAGCTGAGCTATTCAGCACTGCTAAGACCCGCTTGCTCCACGCAGAAGTTCAAAAATAGCTGCAGCACACAGCGCACATAAATCCAGCAAAACCAAAAAAAAAGCTACAGTTTGAAAACAAGGGTTGCTTGCCATATTATTCAAAATCGTATTTTAATTAGGACACTTTCCACTATATCACATACTTGTTTTTTTTTTATTAAATCCTAAGAAAATTGTCGTCAGTAATTTTGAAAAAAAACCTCACTTCACAAAGGCTCAAGGCATAGGAAATCCATGTTAAAAATTGATATATAAATCTTCCATATTTTGGAATTTAACATTGCTACCGCTATTATCCAAAAAGGCGTACGTATAAATAAGGATCATAAACTATGTGTATTGCAAATTTAAAAGAAAATCCTAAGAAAATCAGTAATTCGGAGAACGTCCTTAAACTATGAGCAAAAGCAATTTTAATATCTACTGTACAAATATATATATATATATATGTATGTATATATATATTTATATATTTTGTTCGAATATCATATTTATC